TTTTTTTTTTTTTGTTGTTGTTGTTGTCAAATTCTACTTTTTTATCAATGCTGTATATTCAATATTTATTCAGATTTTTTGTTAACAAGTGTTGAAGGTAACATATCTTTTTGAAAAAAAGAAAAGAAGCAATTTTTTTTATATAATTCTACTTAACAGTTTTTATAGACTTATTTTTTTTTCTTGCTTTTTAGATCTTAGTTCAAAGTGCGGTCATTTTAGTTTGCTCTATAACTGGCAACAATCTGTACAACTAACTCTTCTGCTGCTGCTGCTGCTGCTGCTTAGTTTACTGTTTTTTTTTCTTCTATTTTATAAATAGAACGATAGAGTAGACTTTTTTTTTTTGGTTTTTGGTTTTTGGTTGTTGTTGTTGTAAAGGTTTTTTTGCAATCAGCATTTACACTTTGGTTTGTTTTGCTGTTAATTGTTGTTGTTGTTTTTTTTTTCTTCTTTTAAATAACAATTTCTTCTGTATTAAACAACAATACATTTTTGTTTTGTCAATTGTAGTTGCAATTTTTTTTTTTTGCTTTTTTTTCAATATGTAATTCTATGATCAAAATTAGTGTTTGCATAATAAGAATTGCATTTTTTTAATATATCTTCTCCAAAAAAAAAAAAAACTGCTTTCTTTTTCTTATTAACTGAAAAAAACAAATTCTTTTATTTGAAAAATATACGACTAATTGAATTAGCTTTTGTTAAAAAATATATGACTATATTGAAAAATCTTGTCTAATTTTTCTATGTACAGAAATGCTGTTTATCTGACAATAGACGACAATAGACTACGCAGATAAAGAAGTTTTAATATTGCAAAATACTGTCTACTGAAACTTCAATTTAGCCTATATTTTTAGGTTCAAGCCTACACCGTCAAGTTGAAGGTACATTACACTCAGTGGTAAATAGGTGATGCAGGACGATAGAATCTGTAAACTAGACATCTTTATCGGTTGCCGAACAAATTCTGTGTCACCATTACGTTGCCAGCCACCTAAGTATCTGAGTAAATAGTAGAGAGACCAGTGTCAATTGTTTGCCACTTTTTTGTTGCCTATCCTTTAGATGAATCGATAGTTCACAAGTTGTTTTTTTAACACTAAGATTCAAGAGTGGTCATTGAATAAATGGCAATTAATTTTTTTTTTCCATTTAAATTTCTATCTATTATAATTGTTTTTGTTGCTATAATTAATTAAATAATTGCAAAATTTTCCTCTAAATATACAGCTAAAAGAAAAAAAATAGATTAAAAAGATTTTTGA